AGTGGAGCCCCATCCTATTTTGAAACATGTAGCAGTGGCACGTCACATGGACTCTTAATATCTCTCACATACCTTTTGGTCATCATTTCCTCGTTATTGCAGAAGATCATTTCCCTTTTGTTTGGACATTGAGAAGCAATACGCTCTGAACCTAAGCATCTATAATACTTGATGTCCATTTTCCTAGAAGGTTTGTAATCTGCCTTGGTTATTATTATGCTTACTACTTCCTCTTTGATGCCTTGGAATTTCTCCTCATTTACTTCAACACCCTTTCCACAACGTACACTTTTTAAAGTTAGCATAAAATTGATCCTGCTTCAAGACAATAAGCATGCACATCAAATTTTCGATATGTTCATCTAAGTTCTTACAATATACTAGAATGTCATTAAAGTAAACTACTAAGAATTTACCTTTAAACAAGGTTCATTAATCTCAAAAATGTGCTGGGCACATTAATATGTCCAAATGGCATACAACTAACCGTTCTTACAATCCATATTTAGTCTTAAAAATAGTTTTCCATTCATATCCTTCTTTCATCCTTATTTGTTGATATCAACATTTAAAATCTATTTCACAAAATATAGATGATCCATGTAGTTAATCAAGCATATTGTCCAACCTAGGCATGGGATGATGATACTTTACTGTACGTTGTTGATTGCCCGACAGCCAACACACATTAGTGGAGCCCCATCCTATTTTGAAACATGTAGCAGTGGCACGTCACATGGACTCTTAATATCTCTCACATACCTTTTGGTCATCATTTCCTCGTTATTGCAGAAGATCATTTCCCTTTTGTTTGGACATTGAGAAGCAATACGCTCTGAACCTAAGCATCTATAATACTTGATGTCCATTTTCCTAGAAGGTTTGTAATCTGCCTTGGTTATTATTATGCTTACTACTTCCTCTTTGATGCCTTGGAATTTCTCCTCATTTACTTCAACACCCTTTCCACAACGTACACTTTTTAAAGTTAGCATAAAATTGATCCTGCTTCAAGACAATAAGCATGCACATCAAATTTTCGATATGTTCATCTAAGTTCTTACAATATACTAGAATGTCATTAAAGTAAACTACTAAGAATTTACCTTTAAACAAGGTTCATTAATCTCAAAAATGTGCTGGGCACATTAATATGTCCAAATGGCATACAACTAACCGTTCTTACAATCCATATTTAGTCTTAAAAATAGTTTTCCATTCATATCCTTCTTTCATCCTTATTTGTTGATATCAACATTTAAAATCTATTTCACAAAATATAGATGATCCATGTAGTTAATCAAGCATATTGTCCAACCTAGGCATGGGATGATGATACTTTACTGTACGTTGTTGATTGCCCGACAGCCAACACACATTAGTGGAGCCCCATCCTATTTTGAAACATGTAGCAGTGGCACGTCACATGGACTCTTAATATCTCTCACATACCTTTTGGTCATCATTTCCTCGTTATTGCAGAAGATCATTTCCCTTTTGTTTGGACATTGAGAAGCAATACGCTCTGAACCTAAGCATCTATAATACTTGATGTCCATTTTCCTAGAAGGTTTGTAATCTGCCTTGGTTATTATTATGCTTACTACTTCCTCTTTGATGCCTTGGAATTTCTCCTCATTTACTTCAACACCCTTTCCACAACGTACACTTTTTAAAGTTAGCATAAAATTGATCCTGCTTCAAGACAATAAGCATGCACATCAAATTTTCGATATGTTCATCTAAGTTCTTACAATATACTAGAATGTCATTAAAGTAAACTACTAAGAATTTACCTTTAAACAAGGTTCATTAATCTCAAAAATGTGCTGGGCACATTAATATGTCCAAATGGCATACAACTAACCGTTCTTACAATCCATATTTAGTCTTAAAAATAGTTTTCCATTCATATCCTTCTTTCATCCTTATTTGTTGATATCAACATTTAAAATCTATTTCACAAAATATAGATGATCCATGTAGTTAATCAAGCATATTGTCCAACCTAGGCATGGGATGATGATACTTTACTGTACGTTGTTGATTGCCCGACAGCCAACACACATTAGTGGAGCCCCATCCTATTTTGAAACATGTAGCAGTGGCACGTCACATGGACTCTTAATATCTCTCACATACCTTTTGGTCATCATTTCCTCGTTATTGCAGAAGATCATTTCCCTTTTGTTTGGACATTGAGAAGCAATACGCTCTGAACCTAAGCATCTATAATACTTGATGTCCATTTTCCTAGAAGGTTTGTAATCTGCCTTGGTTATTATTATGCTTACTACTTCCTCTTTGATGCCTTGGAATTTCTCCTCATTTACTTCAACACCCTTTCCACAACGTACACTTTTTAAAGTTAGCATAAAATTGATCCTGCTTCAAGACAATAAGCATGCACATCAAATTTTCGATATGTTCATCTAAGTTCTTACAATATACTAGAATGTCATTAAAGTAAACTACTAAGAATTTACCTTTAAACAAGGTTCATTAATCTCAAAAATGTGCTGGGCACATTAATATGTCCAAATGGCATACAACTAACCGTTCTTACAATCCATATTTAGTCTTAAAAATAGTTTTCCATTCATATCCTTCTTTCATCCTTATTTGTTGATATCAACATTTAAAATCTATTTCACAAAATATAGATGATCCATGTAGTTAATCAAGCATATTGTCCAACCTAGGCATGGGATGATGATACTTTACTGTACGTTGTTGATTGCCCGACAGCCAACACACATTAGTGGAGCCCCATCCTATTTTGAAACATGTAGCAGTGGCACGTCACATGGACTCTTAATATCTCTCACATACCTTTTGGTCATCATTTCCTCGTTATTGCAGAAGATCATTTCCCTTTTGTTTGGACATTGAGAAGCAATACGCTCTGAACCTAAGCATCTATAATACTTGATGTCCATTTTCCTAGAAGGTTTGTAATCTGCCTTGGTTATTATTATGCTTACTACTTCCTCTTTGATGCCTTGGAATTTCTCCTCATTTACTTCAACACCCTTTCCACAACGTACACTTTTTAAAGTTAGCATAAAATTGATCCTGCTTCAAGACAATAAGCATGCACATCAAATTTTCGATATGTTCATCTAAGTTCTTACAATATACTAGAATGTCATTAAAGTAAACTACTAAGAATTTACCTTTAAACAAGGTTCATTAATCTCAAAAATGTGCTGGGCACATTAATATGTCCAAATGGCATACAACTAACCGTTCTTACAATCCATATTTAGTCTTAAAAATAGTTTTCCATTCATATCCTTCTTTCATCCTTATTTGTTGATATCAACATTTAAAATCTATTTCACAAAATATAGATGATCCATGTAGTTAATCAAGCATATTGTCCAACCTAGGCATGGGATGATGATACTTTACTGTACGTTGTTGATTGCCCGACAGCCAACACACATTAGTGGAGCCCCATCCTATTTTGAAACATGTAGCAGTGGCACGTCACATGGACTCTTAATATCTCTCACATACCTTTTGGTCATCATTTCCTCGTTATTGCAGAAGATCATTTCCCTTTTGTTTGGACATTGAGAAGCAATACGCTCTGAACCTAAGCATCTATAATACTTGATGTCCATTTTCCTAGAAGGTTTGTAATCTGCCTTGGTTATTATTATGCTTACTACTTCCTCTTTGATGCCTTGGAATTTCTCCTCATTTACTTCAACACCCTTTCCACAACGTACACTTTTTAAAGTTAGCATAAAATTGATCCTGCTTCAAGACAATAAGCATGCACATCAAATTTTCGATATGTTCATCTAAGTTCTTACAATATACTAGAATGTCATTAAAGTAAACTACTAAGAATTTACCTTTAAACAAGGTTCATTAATCTCAAAAATGTGCTGGGCACATTAATATGTCCAAATGGCATACAACTAACCGTTCTTACAATCCATATTTAGTCTTAAAAATAGTTTTCCATTCATATCCTTCTTTCATCCTTATTTGTTGATATCAACATTTAAAATCTATTTCACAAAATATAGATGATCCATGTAGTTAATCAAGCATATTGTCCAACCTAGGCATGGGATGATGATACTTTACTGTACGTTGTTGATTGCCCGACAGCCAACACACATTAGTGGAGCCCCATCCTATTTTGAAACATGTAGCAGTGGCACGTCACATGGACTCTTAATATCTCTCACATACCTTTTGGTCATCATTTCCTCGTTATTGCAGAAGATCATTTCCCTTTTGTTTGGACATTGAGAAGCAATACGCTCTGAACCTAAGCATCTATAATACTTGATGTCCATTTTCCTAGAAGGTTTGTAATCTGCCTTGGTTATTATTATGCTTACTACTTCCTCTTTGATGCCTTGGAATTTCTCCTCATTTACTTCAACACCCTTTCCACAACGTACACTTTTTAAAGTTAGCATAAAATTGATCCTGCTTCAAGACAATAAGCATGCACATCAAATTTTCGATATGTTCATCTAAGTTCTTACAATATACTAGAATGTCATTAAAGTAAACTACTAAGAATTTACCTTTAAACAAGGTTCATTAATCTCAAAAATGTGCTGGGCACATTAATATGTCCAAATGGCATACAACTAACCGTTCTTACAATCCATATTTAGTCTTAAAAATAGTTTTCCATTCATATCCTTCTTTCATCCTTATTTGTTGATATCAACATTTAAAATCTATTTCACAAAATATAGATGATCCATGTAGTTAATCAAGCATATTGTCCAACCTAGGCATGGGATGATGATACTTTACTGTACGTTGTTGATTGCCCGACAGCCAACACACATTAGTGGAGCCCCATCCTATTTTGAAAAATTGCAATATATGATAAATTATTTCATTAAGGATATAATAGACATTTTATCAAAAATAAATAGTAGCAGGTCATTTATAATAATGCCCCGAAAAATTGGCCACACAGAACCAAGTATAGATTGGATAGTACGTTGATATTTCCCCTTCAATAAAGACCTGCAGATCCAGCCAGCCATCAATGTCCATTTCAATGGCCGCAGACTTCCAACAGAGTCTAAACACAAACTTTACCATCTATAATTCTTTGCTTAAATTAACATTTTTTACCATCTATAAGTAATCGTTGATCCAAGTTTTATCTAGATTTTAGATTTTATTCCCCCAGTTCATTACTTTCTTTTCTTTAGGTCTGCCCCCAATTCCACGCTCCACTCTCTTTCTCATCTCTTTTAGCTCAGATCCCTCTAGTTTATTTAAAACCCATTTTGTTTCTACAAGAATTTATATAATTGTAGCAGATCCTACGTTGTTACAGGTCAGATTCTTGAATTAAAGCTCATTCATTTGAAATGCTTATATATATATATTAGAACCAGTTTCGTATTGATCATGAATCAGATTAGATCTCTGCTTATTTCGTCCAAATTCTTGCACATAATTTGCTACATTTTTTAGCAAATAGTTTAAACGAAAGTTCAGATCATTGTGATTTTGATAACCCATTTATGTACTCTTCAATGAAGCGCGCTCTGCGCCCACTATACAGCATCCTGCTACTCATAATGGTGGCAACTACTCTCACCGTCCGGGTTATACTCCATTATGGGTCTATCCAGCTGAAATATGACGCCCCACTTTTTAAAAGCCCGGAAAAGCCAGTGTTTAACGCGACTCTTTTGAAATATGCTTCGATTGATATTGGTGAATCACAGTTGAAGCAAGAGATTGAGGAGTTATTAGAGGGGAATTTTCGAAGGCGTGGTCGCCAGAGATCCTTTTTGTCATCTAAGAAGTATAATATTGATGTGAGAATGAAGCCAGCTAGAGGCATTTCCGTACAGCTCCGGTCGCCAGAGTTTTATCGCCTGTGGTTGACTTTTAGGAGGTATTTGAGTGATTGGTCCCGAAATAGAAGGTTTCAGTTAGATGCATTGTTGGAGTTGGTGAATGGAGTTAAGGTTCCGCTTGATAAATACAATGGAAATAAGGTGTTGGGGAAGAAATACAAGAGTTGTGCTGTGGTAGGGAATAGTGGTATTTTGTTGCAGAGTGGATATGGTGAATTGATTGATAGTCATGAGGCTGTAATTCGATTGAACAACGCAAGGACAGGGAAGATATTTGAACAAAATGTGGGCTCGAAAACTAGTATTTCTTTTGTGAATAGTAATGTATTACACTTGTGCGCGCGAAGGAAAGGTTGCTTTTGCCATCCCTATGGGACAAATGTGCCTATTATCATGTATATGTGTCAACCTGTGCATTTCTTCGATTATTTGGTGTGTAATTCTTCACACAAGCCACCATTGGTCATTACTGATCCACGGTTTGATGTATTATGTGCTAGAATTGTGAAGTACTATTCTTTGAAACGGTTTGTAGAGAAGACAGGGAAGGATGTCGTGGAATGGGGGGCGGCTCATGAAGGAGCTAATTTCCATTACTCCTCTGGTATGCAGGCTATTATGCTTGCATTGGGGGTTTGTGAGAAAGTTAGTGTTTTTGGATTTGGGAAGTCGGCATTGGCAAAGCACCATTACCATACCAATCAAAAAGCTGAGCTTTCTCTACATGATTATGATGCAGAATATGATTTTTATCACGATTTGGTGAAGAAGCCACAGATGATACCCTTCATCACAGACAAGTTTCAATTTCCTCCTGTTGTTATGTATCACTGACATTTACCACTGTTAGCTAGAGTGATATACAACAATGTTTTGTGTTCTTGCTTGGCTGTTCATTCCAGTAGTGTCCCATGGAAGAAAGTTCGTTGTTCAAAGAAAATTGTTTTGCTGTGCAGCCCTGTACTATCCAAGATAGTCTTGATGCACGTGTAAAATTGTTATCAAAGCGCATTGTAACTTTTGTTTCATGAATTGGAATTTCTTATAACATATTTCTTCGTATTCCATTTTGGGATATATCATATGAAGGATCATGTTTCCCACCTACCTGAAATGCACATAAATGCACGAATGAATATTTCCATGATATATACTTGCAAGAAATGAACCTCCTTGTGCCTAGGCTGGAGGTTCAGACTTGACCCCTACCACGTTATTCATAGCATACAAGAGGTCTTCTAGATTTAAATTACCTTCATGTGGAAATTGATAGTAAAAGTTCTAAAGATTGTGAAAATTGGCTTAAATGAAGGATGAACGTAAGCAACTTCATTTGTTTATCATGCTGAAAAAGGAAGACTGATTAATGTCAGGTTATCAGCTAACTGCTTTTTTATCTTTTTATCTGTTTTACATATTTTAGACATTCACGTATGGAATGCTTACTAGTCCATTTGATTTTGTTTGGTGCATTGATTCTTTTGTGGGAAAGGAAAATGGATATGGATCTGTTTCAGTTGAGAATGTGCTAATAAGAGGTCATATTGCTTTAAGTATTGTTTTGCATCTACTGTATAAGTTGTATCTCCACATCATGTGACAGGATGCTGTAATTGTTCTTTTTCAACTATAAAGCTTTTTTGCCTAGTTGCCGTGTCTGTTTTTCTTTTCCTCTTGGTTTTCAGATTCTTTCAATCCCTCTTATATTAGTTGGAAGATACAATCGGCTGTACAACAGACATGAACTTGATCCGGGAAAGTTCACTTGATTAGCACACGAAACCAAGGACTGTCGAATATTTGGATGAGAGACATATTGCAGTAACAGTTTTCCTTAATAAAACTGTGCTTATTTTACCTTTCGGTCCATCTCCTGATACAGGTTTAACACAAGTAGGCGGCATTGATCGTCATGTGTAAAGGAATAGGTTCTTTACTTTTGTGTTTTGACTTTATAGTGTGCTTACCATAATTTGAAACTCGGTAAATGTAACGTCATGATTGTAAAGATCTCTTTTACATGATTCCTATGTCTGATGTGCAATTGTAGAACTGATGTTTCCTAATTATGCTGACACTTCTATTCTACAGCTTCGAAGTTCCTTTACCCTCCCTCACACTGTTTGCTTTAATCATTATGGCATCTATAAATGATCGTTCAACCCCACGACTTTCTCATCAGCAACGAAAAGATCTTGGATCTCTCTCATGTTTGTGGTATCATTGTTATTGATTCTTCTCATGAAGACTTGGCATTGTATATTCTCCTACTTTTTAGAACTATTACTCCTACCTACGAATGCAGCAGGAAATCCGGACTAAATTGTATACTGTATGTTATCAATTGCTTCCTTGGAGGCCCAAGTTTGATATGGAAACGCCCCTCGCTTGATGATACTTTGGCTTCTTGCTAGACTACTGAAAGAGGAATCGAGACTGATGTAACATGTTTCTGGGTGTGAGATATATATAGAACAGTACCATAAAAACTTAACGGGAAGAAATTTCGAAGTCAGTCACTGGACTAGCCCGTAACAGAATTGCGAAATAAGTCACACGACAAGAAGAGCGTCATCTATTGGAGAACATTTAACTGAAAATTTCACAATCTTACATATCCAAGCATTCTGATAGATCTCCAAGAATTAGTAACCAAGTTGTCGAGCATTTCCTTCGACAATTTCTAAGACACATCTGCTATCCCTGCACTCGATATTATCCGGAATGATAAGCAGAAAAAGCATTTCGTTTCGTTCGACAGCACTTACACGAGTGAAGAGTAAATTGCTCCATGCAGCAACCAGTAACTAGCAACAATACATTGGACGACTCAACGCAACTCAAGAATTACACTCCATTCACAACAGCATATGCAGAACATTAGAACAGAAGATTATACACTTTTTACAACTAAGACCATCCTACATACTACTTCGATTGTCATGAACATCAGAGAATGACTACAAAAAGAAAAACAAGCCATCATTTGGAACTTGTACTAAACCACAGTCAAAATCCAACTCAAAATTCCATTGTTAGCAAGTGGATCCCAAACATATATACAACCCTTCTCTGCCTTGCATCCCAAAATAGGCTTCCCTTCTCCCAGCTGTTCCCCTCCAGTTTTCTCATTCTTCTACGTCGTATTCCACGATCTCCTCCTCAAACTTCACTGACACCAGAAACCTTATGCTCACCTGAAAAAAAAAAAAAAAAAAAAACGACAAGGAAATTGCTTAGATTGAGTACTTAAGCCACATTGGTTTCATTTCATCATATTGAAATTTGCATATCCATTTGAACCTGTTTGGGATCATAGACGGCATATTCATTATATTCTAGAGGACTGTCCTTGTGCTGTGATGACGGGATCAGTTTTCCACAGGGTACTTTTATGTCATCCTTCCAAACAAAGTGCTCTGATTCATCTGTTTTCTTCCTACCAAATCCTTTCACCCCGAGTTTCTTCTCTTCTAAAGACTTCAAATCCTACCCAACCAAATGTAACTAGCGCATAAAAAGAAGTTTGTACAAAGACAAAATGGATTATGCATCTTATGACAACTTGTGTACCTCTGGTGGACTTGTGAGTTCAGTAATCTGTTCACCCAAGGATGCAACAGCCAGAATCAAGAAGCCTTCGGGCCTGTCCACTGCTGTGAAGCCATACCTGGTTGCTTCTGCTGCAGCATCGGAGCAAACTATGGCCTTTCCAAACTAATAAACGAGTAGAGGGAAATCCATGCATAAAAAATTAAAAGCCGCCAAGAATAAAAATTGAAGCCGCCCCACAAGAATTGGGAAAAGGGACAAACATAAAACTTGTTTCCTTACCATGTACCCCGGGACTGGTAGAGCACATACTGCTGGCAAGAATCCTTTCTGCAGATGCCGCAACAGATTTGAACTGCGGGTACCTGATGAATTATGTTCAAATCATTTCACTACCACACAGAAGTCAGAAAAAATTGTGTGGAAGGAAAAATTGACAAGGATCCTTGTTTCATACCACACCACAGCAATACTTTGTTTGGTAGTTTCTTGATTTCATCCAGGGAGGGGCAAGCACTTGATTCAACAGTGAATATATTGTCAAGTGATACTCCATAACTCTGAAAAGCATTACAACAGCAGTTACAAAACAAACTACTAGAGGCCATCAAATATCATTTATTTAAAATCTTCAAATAAGAGAAGAAATCAAACAAGAACATGGTGGTTGCTCCTACAATTTGTCCAACTTTGACAGGTTCATAAGTTTTCTCCAGATAATTTGCTATCATCTTGTAATCATTTGTGTCTTTCTCCAATGGAGATATAGAGCAACCCAACTTCTTATACCGGTCAAAGAGAGGATCATCAATAGTAGAACCAGACATGTCTCCTATAAGATGCGAGGCTACAGTAATATCTCTGACGGTCTCAAATGCAGCTGCAGCCTGCATAATTTTGCTTTTCGTTAGTGCCTAATCGATAATATAACTATCAAGATCGTATATATTCTTAAATGCACTCACGTGATCAGCAACATCACTAAAATCATGGAAAATGTAAGGCCTGGTAGAAGGCATCAGCGTAAACCATCTTTGACTGAAATCAGACCACAGAGCGTCCGCTTTTTCACCGGTTTCTTTTTGAGACTTTAGCCTCTCTACGAATTCCAGAAGAACATCTTCACCTGTAGCATTTGATATTGGTCAAGATCCATAAAATTGACGTCATCAAGAATTGAGAATGCACTTAGAAATCACTCACATCTTTTCAAGTGCATGTCACTGAGCATACCCACTGGGAGATCAGGAACATCTAGTGCCATCTCCATTAAAGCATACCTGCAACCAACACGATGTACACGTCGTCATGCATGATAATTGAGAAAAGATTGACTTAAATATAGTCTAGATGGTTTCGCACCTGTAAATCTCCTGACCACAGAGGACCTTCATAAAATTTCCCACCTTTGGCTCGAGCATGCAATGAGCCACTGCAATTCCTAGCTGCCTAAGGCCAAGACCCCCATGTCTAACTTCTACTCCATCGGCCTGTGAGAATTGAACAATTTTATATTCCATATATGTATAAAAGGAAGCAATATGATGTTTATACTTGCACGAGAAAGTACCATGTCAATAGGAAAAAATTTCCGTGGCTTTTTCTGGATTTTCTTCTCCCTCTCCCATGGTTCAAATTCATTTCCAGTCAACTCTTCAAATTGCTTAGTGAACTCTTTCAATGCGTTATTGATATTGTCCCATTCCTCCAGCCTTTCCTCCGTTCTGGCATCATCACCAATTCTTCCCCTCTTATAATACATGTTCAAGGGTTTCTCAGGTAATGTTATCAGTTGCATGATGCAAAAACTGCATAACTAAACAGTGTAAGTTGGTGCATAAACGTAACATGAAAAATGGAAGAAGAAAACCAATCCATACTCGTTCACTTGTCGCCCTGCATCAGAGACAGAGAAAGCACAATTGTATAGAATACCATCCTCATCGAGGATCTGTCCACCTTCATCCTGCAACTTGGTATCCTTGTGAACACCCCTCTTTCCATACACCTTAAGCTGAATTAAAAGAAATACTTATATTCATCAAAACCAAAATATCTACTAACTCAATCTGGTGCAACACCTAATCTTGGTGGAAATATACCTCAGCAGTAATAGTTTCCAGTGCCTCTTCACTCTCATCCATTTTATCCAAAGGAATGCCTCTCCCAGCAACAGCAATATCACTAGCTATATCATAAGCCTCTAAAGGTTGAGCTTCTTTTTCCTCAATGCTGTCAATTAACCAAGCTTCCCTTACGACTGGTATACCCCTCTCCCTGAACAATTGCCCGTTATAAACATTCAAAAATCACCCCTATACTGAATCAAAGAATCATGTTGAACGACATGCAAATAATATTAAAAAAAATCAATAGATTCAGCACAAAAGACCTTATTAGTTGGTGGTATTGTGTCAACCAGGTAACTGGAACAGAATAAATATTGCAATAAATATATTCACAAGGTTCATCTTCCTCAATCCTTTCAGTAAGTCAGATGATTTAATTTTTCCAATTGCAAAGCATAACATCCATCTTTGGACATCTGAAAATGCTTGCATTACTTGCCGAGTAATGCGTGTTCTCAAGTAATGATGAAGTACTTACAATGCTTCGGCCAATTTCGATGATCCTCCACGCTCCCTCTCTGCTGGAGACACAACTAAGCAAGTTGCCCCTGCACGGGACACATCTCCATCTTAGCCAAGAGGAACATAAAAACTTGGAAATTTGCAGCCTTTATAAGAATCATTTACCAATAATAGAGTTGCTGACTTTCCCACCATGCTTCTCAATCTGTGACTTCCAGAATTGCTTTGTAGCACATTGCCAAATTAGTGGTGGAAAAAATCCTTCACAAACATAATAAATAGTAATACAAGAATACTGAAAAACAGAACTAAAAGAATACATGTGTTCGACTTAGACGGCCTGAAAGAGAAATCATCATTCCCTTAAAAGGTTTTTCAGCAGGAGTCGAAGCCTCTCTCTTATTGCGTGATTCAGGATCATGGTGCTTTTTCAGCAACTACGGCAACATGAAAACGACATTAAAGCACAATTACAGGGATTTGCATATTAAAACAGATAAACCAGAACAGGAAAATTACATCAGATATATCAGATTCTTGGACAGACTCAGGTAATTTCACTGGCTCATCTTTTCTTGGTGGATCCGAAGTGTTGTAGGTGCAAATGGTCCATTCACTATATGACCCTTTACACGAGAAGGTCATATCATTCATATCAGACAACTCCAAAGTTCCACCACAGATCATACATTTGTCTAGTGGCCCATAAAACAATATATCTTGGCTGAAAATGAGAAAAACAAGAAAAATTACACCCAAAAAAAAAAAAGAAAAAAAAAAAAGAAACCTTAATATCAAGAACTTATTGTTTGTTGCAAAATTTTAATCCTGCATACCATCTGGGGACAACAGCATCATCCGAGCCAGATGAATCCTGGTCATTGGCTTCCAAAATTTTGCGCATCTGCTGAATCGAAAGATGCTCACTTGTTTTCTTACAAAATTTTTCAAATTCTGCTTTAAAATTGTCAGTTGATTTCCTATTTGTCTGGTCATTCTCGCCCTCGGTTTTGGCCTTCTTTGGCGACTGGTCAGATTCAGGTGCCTTTCCCTCTGCCTTTTGCTTCCTTGTCACCTTCTTCTCCTCATGACCAGAAGAATGAGCAGTTGATCTTGTCTCATGAACCTTCAAATTTGCATGTATGCATACAGGATCAAAAATTAATGTTTAGCGAGTCATGGAGAGCCGCTACATTCATCCATCATTCTATATATATACACACTTTTTAAGAAAATATATATATTACATTTTAAAACTTAAGTAAAAAGAGTTTTGAACATTTTTATATTCTCTGTCTTTTATTTAACTAAAACCCTAATATTCGTAAAATATCTTTATTGACCCCTAAAAACATACTAATTGGTGTCAATCTTAGATGACGTTCACTTAAGCAGATTCCAATAGACCTTGAACGGATACCTAATTGGATATTCAAATATCAGTCATACACGTGTGTATACAAAGGAAATATTCATGACCAAAAAAAATTGAGAAATAAGAAGATGGTTTGAATAAGCATTCATAGAAGGGAAACAGTAATATAGGTTTGCATGTATGTCTTTCCATCCTTTACAATGTTACAAAAGTTGTTATTTATAGCATCCAAGCCGACATGGTCACTGTTAGTGTCACATCATCCTATCTCACATTCATTATATTGACAAATACATTTGAAAAGGGATTGGCTGCCCTACATCATAAACTGATACACCTGACATTTATTAATGCAAAGATCACATCAGTCATTCCTAAAAATACACTCATCAGACCTGCTTACAGAGCCTCAAGTATGAAGGAGTTTAGCTTAAGGAATGAGAGCACTTCGGCCGTGGAGCTTGGACGGAAGTAGTATCTTGGCCAGAAGGCAATTCTTGCTTTCTTCCTTATTCTGGATTGACTGCCACGTGTGTGAGTGTGGCCTCCATTGGAAGTTTCATATATAATTGGAGTCCCCCAAATCTATGTATGATCATTTATGTAATACATAGAGTTTGGATTATACTAGAAAATTTTTGATAGGTGTATTTTTTAATCCTGTAACAGCGTAATCGCCCAAGTCTAATTTGCGAATATTTATATGAAAATTAGAGTCTGAGAATTGAGTATAACGGATAAACGAGGTTCCTATCGAGGCTATTAACTGAGGGATTTTATTAGAATTGACGCTCTCCTTCCAAGGTTGTACTTACATATATTTGATTGTGCTGAAGTTCTGAAGGGTAAGATAGAAGTGATGTGCTTAGTTAATTTGGACGAGGTTGTTGGCTACGAAGCTGAAGAGGCTTTACCAATTCGGTATTGGTGAGCACAAGGCATTGTCAAGAACTATGCTGAAATGATTAGCCGTCTTCTACAATTTCCAGAAAAAATGTCTGTTCGAGTCCCAACACACGTAATCGTCACCATATTTAACGCGCAATGATAGTTGTTGTGGGTGTCTTTTGTTGCTTAGACACGTTGGGGCACGTGAATGTGATGCCATAATCTGGGCCTTTAGAATGCGAAAGGGCATATGTGGTGAGTGGCTCAAATGTAATTATGTAATTAACAGTTGGATGATCTGAATCTCTAACGGCTGAAATTGAATACCTCTGCCTATAAGGCAAATCTTTTATGCACATAATCTATGCAGATTTATTCAAATGACACCACATTCTTGCTCTGACTTTAGACAATATTTGAAAATAATTCCTTTTCTAACGTAGACTCTAATGCGAAATCTGTAGATTCTGTAGATTAGAGTTCCACAAAAAAGCAAAGTCTAGTGTAACCGTGCACTAGTTCATGATTTAACTTATTTTGACATCATAAAACATAGAAATCAGAACCAAGTTAAGGATATCAACAAAAAAATCCTAAAATATTTGATTAGGAGAAACAAGCAATAATCATAAATAGATGCCAATAATTTCAAGATTTCGTTTTCATCTCCCAAAGAACCAATTATTGACAAACTCAAAACATGCAGCCATTAAAATAACAGAAACGAGAAACAAACCTTCATTTTAAGCTCTTTCCTGTGTTTTGTGATACAATTTCAGCTAGAACAAAAACCCACAACTTTTATTTGAAGCGAACTCTGATTTACAGAAAACCAACAAGTTTTTTGTAAGAGTGAAAACGAGAATTTTGAATAGTAAGTAACAGTGGAGCGGCGGTAGATGGAGACAACCTTCTCGTACAAACACGTACGTACATTGTTACTTGCAAAACTACGTGACGTTTGTCATTCTTGCAAGCGAACACATGTACTCCAGGTTACGCACTGTTTGCCACGACTACAAAAGAGTTTTTTCACTGTCTATGGAAAGGACAACTGTTCTTCGTAAATTCTCCTGCTGCCTTTCGTTTTTCCATTTTCTTTTTGCAAAGACTATGAATCGCTTATATAATAGTATGTAGTTATTTATTATTTTGTATTGTACCGTAATTTTCAGAGTTTCCCTTGAATTAGTTACTGATATTTATCTTAAAAAACGTTTTAAATCACTACAAAAATTAATTTAGAATTTGCAGTTTTAATTAAATTTAATTGTGTAGTGCAGCACTAGCTTTTTATTTTTATTTGTGTGTGTGTTTTGGTATTATGAATTATCTATTTCTCAAATGCGTTTATTATTTTTTTAGTTCATTTTTCCTTTTTCTACTTTTGTGTTTGATCTTGATCTTGATCTTGTTTATTTGCAGTTAGCTCCGATTGCATTAGTAGTGTTGTGGAAGTTTATAAAGCAAAAAATGCAATCGTTAGAATATCACTGTAAAATGAATTGTTTAGATACAAGAAAAACGAGGGGAAAATGATTTGTAATAGATCTTAACAAAAATTTTATAATTTGGATTATGAATAGAAACATAGCTGAGATACAAAATATGTAAATATGAAGGTGTGATTTGTGAATGCTTGGAAAGCATTCTTTAAGAATTATTGAAATTTGCGGATTACAGTTTTTAACTTTGTAGATTCGAAAAAAATAAAATAAAATGTATTACTGGCTCTCTACATGCGTGCATTTCAAACTTTACACGTGGTCAATAATTACTTAACTATTGCTTGGCCCTCATTTTAAATTTTTTTTTTTCCAAACTTATTTTCGATCCACAATTTTTATCAACTTTTTAACAACACGTTTCATTAACTTTCATCAAAATTTACAAAAAAAAAAATAATAATAATAATAAAAATGCTTTTTATCCAAATCAAATAGGGCTTAAAAGAAAAAGGAGTTTCATACCATTTTACTTATTAGCGTCATCTTTAATTCTCTCTCATAAATCTATGATCTGCTTTATATATATATAATTTGTCCTTAAATAATGAAATGAAAGGTAGTTGTTGGATAAATTATGGACAAAAAGTTGATTCACCTTTTATTCTTATTTGGATTTAGGGTTTTAGGGTGATGATCGGTTTCATAGTTAAAGAGTAAATCAATGTTTACCCATAGTTCATGGTAGGTCCAAGCTCTCATCAATATCACATGAACGTAACCAAATGCGTCTTCCGCATTATGTGGTTCGTCCTTCTACTCAAGCAATCCACTCGATTGTCTTTTATGTCAAATTTACTTTATGTTTAACCTTTTTTTTTTCTTTTTATTCGACAAAAATACATTTTGAAATAGTGATTTAATGCAGAACATGTGATTAAGAAATGAGAAAAAGTTTTGGATTTTTGTATAATATTAATTTATTGAAAATTGTACGGTTGAAAAGAAGAGTAAAAAATATTTTTTTTTGTATATAATGGAGATCAGTTATTTTTCAAGGGAATTTTTTTTTTTAAATCCTATCTCTTATTTTTTATCTGAAGAACTCTTCTCTCTCTCTCTCACGCGCGCACGCACACACACACTTTTTATCTCCCACTTTTACTCTTCTTTTTCTCAAATTTTCTCTTACTTTGCCCTTGTTTGTTTGTGGGAATTAAAATGAAATTTTAATAAAAGTTGATAAAATATATGATTAAAAAGTTGTGGATCCCATGAAATAAATGATTTAAATTAATTGTAAACTTTGACTTAGATAACAATCACAATTTTAATCCCACCAAGCATGGCTTATTACTTTTTTATTTTTTCTTTATATTATCTTGTCCATTTTAACTTAACCCCCTTGTTTACATTAAGGGTGCATTTGATTGTGAGCATGAAATTTGCAAGAAAATAAAATGAATTTCAGGTAATTCAATTGTCTAGAAATTATTTGTATAAAAGTTATTAATTAAATGTGTATGAGTGATTTAGTTTTCAATATAGAAAATATTATACTTGTACTTTTTTATTGGTGGATAGATGTGAGAGAGAAAGAGAGAATGAATTCTCTACAAAATAAAATTTTACTTAAAGAAAATACTTTCCTTAATTTTGAGAAAAATATGGTTAAATGGCCAATCAAACGGTACAAAAGTAAGAATTTGAGTGGAAAAAATATATTTTTTTCATGAAAAATATTGACATTCTAGTGCACCCTAAAATAAAATTGTAATTTTTTCTAGTGAATTTCTTCAATTTTCTTCTTGTAGTGCTTACAAAACTAATAAGGTCCATTGTTTTTATGAATTTTTTTGATGAAAAAGAAGGGTGTTTCTTGTTTATGCAAGTTATTCAATCATTGGTGATTTGTCATCTGACATAATTTAAAGGTGTTTAATTTGAGAACCGAGCTACACTATCAGAAGGGAGGATGACACAAGTCCTTACCTACCCTCACAGTTGGGGCCAGTCCCACTTCTTATCCCCAATTGTTTATTCACGCAAGGCCCGATGCTTGTGAGGGAGTATCGAAGTCTCTGTCAAAAAAATTCTGACAGAGAAGCTTTTCTCTTAATTTGAATGATCTCACTAGCATACCAACAAAATTCATACGAAAGAGATGGACTAAAGAAGAAAATAAAGAAATTGTGGTAGTTAATGACGAAAGTGACTATATATAGTGCTCAATTAACTCCCGTACAAAATCTCTCAACAACCTTAATATGGAGAGCATTTACATTTATAGTGTTCAGTAGACTCTCGTACACAATCTCCCAACAACCTTAATATCTTTCGACTACTCACTAATATACACTAAGTACTCCACTGGTACAAGACAATCCGAAATAGAATAACACGAGATCAATAATTAATTAGCTTTAAATCAAATTTATTTCTCAACGATATATATAAAATTAGTGAAGAGCGGAAAAAAAAAAACCTCAATGTTACATTAATGATAAAAACATGGTACACTCGACACGTTGAGATCAAAAGACAGCAATGAAGCCGACAAATTTTCTACGCCTTGATGAGCAACATAGAAGAAAATTCATCCGCTTCATGACTTCAACATAATCTCCTTATTCCAAATACAAATAAAAAACCAGTGCTCCACATCAAACCATCCCTACACACTTCCTGCAACTACAGGATAGAGAATTGTTTGTTACTGAGCACCAGGCTTGGGCGAATTCTGTAACTCACACAGATAATGTCTACTATAATCTTCATAATATCAAAATGTAGAAAACGGACACGACACAACATAGACACGTTAAAATATCAATCTCATGCATTTTCATCTTCAGAGCCGCCTGTAACACATTCTTTTTCATCTTCAAACCCTTCAAGAGAAGGATATGGAGAGTGACCCTTCCCGAAAGATCTAATATGATCCTTGAGTGATCTTTTGTGTTTAAAATCAGAGCCACAGGTACAGTACCATAGTTTTCCACAGTTCTTCTCGTGTGTCCTCCAATCTCCTTTGACAGCAAAAGATTTTGCACATTTTCTGCACATAAATGGCTTGGTTCCATGCTTTCTTTTGTAGTGACTCTGAAGTGTTCTAAAGTCCTTCAACGGCTTAGCACGTGGATGATTGATGTTGTTCTTGCAGCCTTGAGAACAACAATAGCAGGGAAGCCTCAGCATTGCTGCTGGTTGTGTTCCTCTCAGAGATTCTGGTCCTTTCCTATATTCAGAACCATGCCCCCACATGTGCATCTGTAGATGTCAAGTAAAGTTATCCGTAATTTCCAAGCTCATAAACCTATTAATTATCTTAGACTGCATGGAAATTATTTTTATTCTCTATTGCACAACAGTCTAAATCTGTTGGAAACGTAATTTGCAATTATTATCTAGATTCATGAATTATAATTATACATGCATTTGTCCATTAATGTACTAGAGGAGGAGAAACGTATCTATTCAATGTTGGTTCATGAGTTAGGCTAGATACATGTTAAATCTTATCTATAAATACCCATGTAACTCAAGCCATTAAAAGGATCGAAATCACAAAAATTTACAATATAATATCTTCTCTTCTACAATCATAAAAAAGTGCAGCAGCACTATATTACGTATAATTTCGAGCATTCGATATTCCTTCTTTTTCATTCGGTTTTTAATCAATCCCCAACAAATCCCTATACGCAAGGTGATTACACCCAAATTTTCTCAGTCTTGAGCAAGTTAGTTCGTTAAGCAATGGAAAATAATGATAAGTTATCTAAATTGAGTACGACCATGAGGAAATGAAGGTATTTGACATCCCCACACACGTGAGGAATAAGAATAAAAGTAATGCTATTCAACCCCATTAGTGCAACTAGTCTAGGTGTCCACGAAATATGCTTAAATGACTGAACATCTTAAACGTTAAATGTACAAAGTGTAGATCATCTTCAAGTGATAAGGATTATAAAACTACTTAAATGTGTGATTATGAAACTCCAGTATTGATATTGTCATTTAATGTCACATTGCACAGAGATGATCCCTAATTGTATGTATGACATTACTCAAGGGTTAATAGTACATAGGAACAAGTCGAACAATTTTTTCTTAAAAGTTAAGGTAATAAAAAAGAATTAATTATTTATATCTATTTTATCTTTAACAATCACGTGTACAAGTTTAATTATATTTTTATCAAAAGTCTGACATGTTTCATAAAGGTTACTAGGGCGGATGACATTTAGGGGGATAAGGTGAGACAGTACAGATTCATGTTCAAATAGGAATTAGTATTGTGTTGTAGACACCTTGATGTGAATCTGTGACATGTGGAGAAAAATTCATATGGATCCCAATGCATATATTCTTACAATATGGTTAAAACTTTGTTTGAAAGGAAAATATATAGTTTGGCTATTATTTTGTGGTTAACCTGCCATACAATCACAGCTGAGTTATTGGCAAAAGTGGGCACTCGTATACGTATAGTGTATGTTTGATACACAATATTAAATGGTAATATAAAGTACAATCATTAATTTAGTTCTCAAAAAATACGTCAGATGTGATATAGCTCAACATAGCAAATATGCTAGAAGAATATTCAGTGGCTGTGTGCAAATTGGTAGATGAAATAATTGTTGCGATTAATTAATTTCAATTTATTATGTATAGATCATGCACCAGCCTGAGATTCATTATATGCCAATGGTGAAAATCTTGACATTTATCCAATGTAAAAGTCATAATTAACATTATTCATTGGCTTAATACACTTAATGATGCATATTATTCTTTAGTTGACCCATAAAATTTTGAAAGCTATGTAAAGATTAGTATTAGCTGACTACAATTCGCACCATCATCATGCATCTATTTGCTGATCTGCTACTTGTGAATATGAGGGAATTTCCAATATGATTCACTTTTTCTTCATATCGAGTGATTTTGATTTATGACTTTATGATGGATTGATTATCAATTAATGAAAATAAGATGATTAGTCACTTAATATATACAGTAGGATCCATATGTTGAGATGAGAAGAATTATCAACAATTGTAGACAACTATTCACCAATTTTTTTTGCCCTTCATTTAATTTCTTGTCTTGTTTAAAGAAATTATATTTTTTTGGGATTTGGAGGTTGATGTTATATAGTTGAAATTAAAAGAGGGGAGAAAAAAAAAAACAACTATTTTATGCCCGAATGAAAGATCTGAACTTAAGAGTGTTTTGAACATTAAGTAATGGTAAATATTTTTATTAATAAAAAAAGAGAAAAAGAAAAAAAGTAAGAATTTATATAGCCCCAGAAAAATGGGAAAGAGACAAATCCAGCAAGGATTGAACAGATATGGTACGTTTTTTATATCCAGTTTATCTGCGTAACACATATGTTGAAATTTATGGTGCAAAAAAGACAAATATAAGTGTAAGAAATTTTCTCTAAGAGCTCAAAAAAATCAATTTCTAATTTTTGTACATGCATAAATATTCAAAAAATATGGTATTAAGGTTACTAACCTGCATGTTGTTGTACCTATTGAAGGTCTTGTTGCATACATTACAAGAAAACTGCATGGGTCCAACAAGAATCTGTGCTGGTGTTGGGATCCAAAATCTCCTCTGATCACTACTGTTAAAACTGCAAACATTAGGGGTCTTCTTTTCATATTCTTCTTTAAATTTGTAGGGTTTAGTTTCAGGATCGAAAGCTCCCACATTAGGCAACCCTATGTGAAGAGCCACAGTCACTTTTTCCATCTTTTCCTCCTTTTTTGCGCCATCATCATCATCTTCTTCTTCGTTTTCCAATTTTTTTTCCTCTTTGAATCTGCTAAGAAGAGGCAAGCATTTGATAGTTTCGTATATATTGTATTCTTCTTTTGGGGGTTGCTGTTGATAATACGTAGGATATTTCAAGAAACTCATGGGATTATTGAATTGATCAATAACTTGGTGTGTGATGGATGATGAAGAAGAAGATGAAGATTGACAGGGTAATGGCTTGAGCCATTCGATGAAAGTTGGAGTTTGATCAAAGCACAAATTTATATCTTGTATTGGGCAGTTTGATATGCCCATCTCATGAGGAGAAGTCCTTCAATTTTTTCTCCTAAGCTGGTTTATATTGAGACTTGGTGTGGGAAAGCATGAACCAAAGGTTGATTTAGGAGTCTTTCTTGGTTTATCTTTTTGGAAACTTTTTGCCTTCTTTCTTTTCTCCCCATTGAGCATTTACCCAGAGAGAGAGAGAAAGAGGGAGAGATTAGTGGTGGGGTTCAGGGAGAATGACTTGCAATGAGACTGTGTGGTCTAACTTGGACTAAGAGAATCTTAGAATAATCTTACATAATCAAACTGTCAGTTTCGGGTTTTTTTTTTTTTTTTTAATACATTAGGGTTAATGAAAATTGTAGAAATTCAAAGAAGGGTAAAGATATTTGTCTAGGGCACCCCTCATAGGTGGGGTGCCTATTATATGGGGTGCCACCACCTATATATGGTGCCTTGGACGTCTAGGGCCCATGTGACCCTGAACGTATAGCACATCCCTTCGAAGAAAATATGATTGAAATTTAAGATGGTAGAAACCTAAAAATGCAGCCACATCCTTTACTGTTGGTGTCATTGCATTTGGGTCCGCGTTATTTTTCTTTGGTAATACAGATTCGAACCTTCAACTTTAGTTGGAAAAAAAAGTTTGAGACAATAATATAATATCAAGAAGAAAAATTATTAACCCCTCCTCTCCAAATAAATTGTGGTAATATTTTATACTCTTTATAGCTAAATAATAATACTTCTATAGATACAGTAGAAAATTAATCTTACAACATATATACCAATTACAAGTCTTCCACTAAAAGTCAAGATTCAACTAGTAGTCATATATTTTATGATGTGATTTTATTGTAATTTGTTATCAAAGTCATAAATGTACTTGAAAATATTGTGTTCTTTATAATATTTTAAATATATGCGTGATTAAAAAAATAAAAAAATAAAAAAAAGAAGAAGAATAAGTATTTGGATATGTTGGTTTGGAGCAGTTATTGTGGAAGTTTACCCGCGTGAATAGAAAATACTCCTCAGGATGGAAAGTGGTGAAAAGCTTAAGGCATTGCTGGTACCACACTGCAATTAGTCAAATCCTAAAGGGGGAAGGGAAAGCTGATGCAAAAGAAAAATAAAAGTCAGATTATAAGAAATAATAATTAAAAAATATTGTTAGGTTTATCTTGGGGGGTAAAAATTTCAACATTTCACACATTGTTAGGTTTTTCTTTTTTTCTTTTTTTCCTTTTTTTTTCACCTCATTTGGGAACTCAAGATGTTGGAGAAAAGATATATCAACTGTTTTTAAAATTTAATCTTTATAATTACCACCTCGCATGCTAGCGATATTTACTTTATCAAATGCTTGACAAATTCACAATTTTCATCAGCGATGGCGAGTCTTAGATTTATTACGTCAGCCTTGTCTAACATCATGTTAATTATTCCTTAAAAAATATATGATTAAAGAATGAATACATTTAGCCGTTGTTTGATTCTCATTTTTTTCAAAATACATTTTTCTCATTCTTTTTTTTGACCACACATTCTTCACTAAAATAATATTATACCCAAATTAAAAAACTTTTCTTTATTTTTCAATCACGCATTTTCTATCAATCTACTATTCTAAAATTTGGCCCCCGGATCATAGTCTAGTGATACAAAGGACAAGAGTGAGGTTATCTCACGCCTTGCTGACAGTCGCAGTGTAAGGGTTCGATTCCTGAAACATGAAATTAGACTCTTTGTAGGCGCAGTGTACATGCAACTCTTGTTTCTTGGCCTATTGGGACACATCCTGCGATTACTTCCCTCACAAAGCTCTACGGGTGGGGTGTGGGAGACCTCAAGATTGGGGTTCAACCTTTTTTTTTCTTCTTTTTTACTATTCTAAAATTTATTTTTTCATAAAAAGGGGCTCAAGCACCCTCTTATTTAAAAGTCTTGCAAATTGTGACTTTGAGTACTATAAATTCTAGAAAATCCATATTGTCAACTGGTCCATAGTGCCAATTCACACCAAAAGCCTAACTCATTAGCAACCTAATAATAATGCTTTATAAACATGGTTTAACCATTACCATGTACTAATGCTAATTAAGCTACCTAAAAATCACACTGTGTGACACTTTATAGTGCAAATCATTGCCAAAATTATCATTATTAAGAGGTTAATTTATACAATTAAAAGTGAGCTCAAATTAGTCAGATTAATTAAACTAAATCATTGCCAAAATTATCATTATTAAGAGGTTAATTTATACAATTAAAAGTGAGCTCAATTAGTCAAATTAATTAAACTAACCGACAGGAAATTATGCAACCGGATTTTCAGGAGATACAAAAGGACACCGTTCTCAACCTCTCAAATCTCTAGTTCTTTAACTTTTTCTTGTTGGGTATTATTAGCACTGTGCATGATTCTCTTCTATGTCCTCCTTTCCCACTGGTTTCAAATAAATCAACTTTTAATCCCGGTACGGTTTAGATAAAATCAAATTTTTAGTAGATTTTGATAAAAATTAATGATATATATGATTGAAAAAAAATTTGTAATTAAAATTAATTGGTGAATTTGAATTAAAGTTTAATCTAATTTTTTAACTGAACCAAACAAGAACTTATTAGATTCGATTTTTCTTTTTTTCTTTTGTTTTTTCCCCCCTTTTCAACTTTTCATGCTCCCAAACTTGGAAACGAAACATGATTCGTGGTTTTTTTCGATCTCTTAACCTAGTGCATGCTTGGCTAATCTTAAAAAAAAAGTTACATATAGAAAGTTTCAAAATAATTACTTTTACTTTGTTTTATTAAAGATATGCAAATATTTTTGTAGTATTCAGTTTATACACTACAAGAATTTTTTATTCTTTCCCTACAAATTTTGGGAGACAAATTAAAATTTGTATGCGGGATTCACTTTTCCCCCAAAAAAAGACATTGCATAAAAAATTTGATAAATAAGAAATATTTTTGCCGACAAAAATATTTGACTCATTTGAAGGCTAATAATTAGCGGAAAATTTTTTCAATTTTTATTTTTATTTTTATTTTTAGTCTCTACAAAAAAGATGACAATTTTTTTTATTAAATTCGGTACCTGAAATAGGAGAGCAATCTGATAACGGATGGGGACGAGTAATAAAGTTCTGGTCCCATACCCACACTGTAACTCTCCCGTTTAATCTTTAAAATTAAAGTGGAAATTACACGACGCCAGACTTTTCAAGATCATACTTCAAAAATCAAATTGGAAAATTTTATGTTCAAAAATCAGGTAATACTTTAAATTTTCAATATTATAAAATTAAATTAATCAATCACAAATCCCCACACCCCACTCTACCCAACAAACCCTAATACATCTTTCAATTGCTACTTCAATTTTCATCTCCACTCCTCCCCACCCCTCCGATGACTCTTCAAAACACTCGGGTGAGCCAGCGACAAGCTTATATAGTTGTCTTTTATAAATAATATTGGTTTTGCAACCTCAAATTTGAAAGACATTGTTTTTTAAACTGATTGGAGTTTGATTTATTGAAAATAGAAATTTGCTTGAAAGATAGAATTATGGATAACGAGGAAGAACTCTATTTATTAAATTGAACTAAACATTTGGAACTAATGATTCCATTTATAAGATTGTTATTGGCTTTAGATTTAATGCATGTTGGGAGAGTTTCTATAAACTATTATCAATAGATAGAAATGGGTGATGAATTATTGCATATTACTTATAAATCACTCCAAATATGTGAATAAAAGTTATTATAAATGTTTATAAACAGTTTATAAACGTGGGCTCATGTTTGGAAAGTGTTTAATGAATAGGTTAAATTATAAATTTTAGAAACAAATGATGAATAAGTTAATAGTACTTGTAAGTTCCTCAAAATATATGAATAAAAAGTAACTTGATATATAAACATGAATCAAACATATGCTAGAGTTGAGTTCTCCTTTCACTATATCTTGAGTAGTTAGCCCTTCTAACCTTGTTGACATTCTTCGAAAATCTTACAACATCAACATGTAGCCACTAAGGATGTCAAGGAGCCGGCTTGTGAGTTGAAACTTAAGGCTTCGACTTGGCTCATGTAAAAATGGTTCAAGTTTTTTTGGGTCGAGCAAAGAGTTCGAATTTTTCTGAGCCCGGTTTTTGCTCGGCCAAAAAATCTAAATTCGAAACTCGGGCCTTATCGAGTCGAGTTGGCTCTTTTTTATATATATAAAACATAGCTACCTGCAAATGGCTACGTGCCCAAAACAAGCAGCTGTGTAGTTGCACGTAGATTTTTAATTTTTTTATTGGTCGGCTCTTTACAGGCCAAAAATGGCTCGTGACACGACGAACCACGTTGGCTGGCTCAAGCTTGGGCTGACGCCCCAAAATGAAGCTCGGTCCGAGTCTCGAGCTAGACCAACTAAAGGTTTTGTGGGTTAAATCACGAGAAATCAAAATCGACAAACCAAATTGACACCCATAATAAGCACTAAATCAAAAATCAAGTGTAAAATCTTAAACTAAGAATTTGATATCCAAGGAAAAATCAAGATTTCTGAAGAAGATCTCTCTCTCTCTCGTTCATTTTTATCATAGGCACATGTATCAAGGATCACAGATATACTTAACTCCTTGACCACTAACCACAGCGGTTTGTCCAACTTCGATCGCACTTTATAAATATCATTTCAAGTTGTAATTTATGATGTTCACCCCCCGCACACCAGAACAAGTTATTTTCAATAAGGGCACAACCTGCGATTTACCTCCACTAGTCACTGAGGGGCCGGGGGCTAGAGGTCCAGGATTTAGTCCGGCTAAGCAACAGCGATTTGTCCAACTTCGATCGCACTTTATAAATATCATTTCAAGTTGTAATTTATGATGTTCACCCCCCGCACACCAGAACAAGTTATTTTCAATACATTCAAATCTTTAAATTGTAAATTTATTATTATTATTATTATTATTTTTAATTGTTTTTCGTCCCGAGAATGACGGAAAAGTAGTCTAGTGACTTTAATTACGATCGCGCGGGGTCCCCGCATAAGAAGGAAAGACTAGGTTTATGATCTGACAGTTTTTGACTTTTTGCTCATGTGATGTCCTTGAACTTTCTCTAATTACGCAATTAAGTTCAAATCTATTATGAAGCTACTAAAGGAACTGG